TAAATCTCTTATAGAAAGATGGATATTGAATGAAGGAAAAAAGTTTCCCTAAAATCTAAAACAAATAATGCAACCTGTTATCTTATAACTTCAATTTGTTCACATCTTCCATTTAATTGAATGTCATGTAGTCTACTTTCTTTGGACTTCTAAAACATAGCCACTTTGCAGAAAAATTCTTGGGAAAAAGGAATATTTAAAAAATACCTTGAAGCAATGTGAGGTTTACTGGATTAGTGAGTAAAAGAGGAAAGAATAGAAATTCATAGAAATCTTTTCTGCTAGAAAGCCTATAATTTTGATCATTAAAAATTTTGGTTTTTGACAGCAGCGATGTGGGTAATAGCTGTAAGCTCTAATTGTTTTAGCTCATCCATAATTTTGCAGCTTGTTTGGATGATCATGTTTAATATGCAGAAATTGCTTACAAATTTCCTTTGCCATTTGACATTATATACATCTGGACATATTTCTGCTAAGTCATCTCATTATCCATCACATTTATCCGGACATATTTATGCACCAATATATAGGGTATGTCTTGTTCTTTGAAGACACATGTCAATTTTTTTTTCTTTGCAACTGGATACTTTACTGCGGCTGACTAACACTGGACTATTGTGATAATCCATAGTTAAGAAAATGCTTATGATTGTCTAAGAAATTAGAAAGAAGGAAAGATACAAAGATTTATAAGAAATAAATCAAATAATCCAACCATGAATGTTAAAACCAACATGAGCAAAATCATGTTCCAGAGTGAACAACAATACTCTACACTTAAAACATTTTATTTTCAGTTATCTACTTCTGTTGTGCATGGGGTTGGATGGTCTTACTTATCTTATCAACAGCAGCAGCAAGTTTTTGGAGTTCGTCCGGGCAGATATCCGGGCAGTGTGTGAATCCAAAATATATCAGTGTCCATTTCCCCACAAAATCTTTATCTGAAACAGATTTTCCATCATGGTTAACAAGATTGAAAGGACCCCCAATAGCTGCTGTGCCAACAGATGCTCCCTCTTTTGGTGCACCAGCATTTTTCAGCTCTGCAATTCAAAATGATACGTGAACTGATTGAAATAGAAACAAAACTAAGCCAATAGAGATGTAGCAGTTTCATTTCAACGCGATGTTGGCAATTTCAAATAAAATCTATTATTTCAAGAAAATCAACAGGTTGGAGTTTAGATCGTGCAGAGAGTTACAAAAACACACATTCAAATTGGTTGTAGATGGAATGAGCTACAACATGTTACTATGTTAGAGATGGTACTTAAGGAGAAAGAAGGGATAGGTGAAAAACAACTTGACAATGAATTTATCATCTCTGCAGAAGAAAACATAAGTACCGGATTCTGTTTAAGCTCTACCACATACACCATATCCATGTGTTTGTATTTTAGTCCAGTGCAACTTTATGAACATACATTTACATATGTTTTTCTGCCGGTGTCCCTCTTCCGAAGAAATGTTTTCTGCTTGACTCCTGGTTTTACCATCCCTGAGAGTTGAATACAAATATGATTCCCTCCAGCACATCTGCCTATCTTTGAATTTTTTTTAACTATTGCCCATCTTTCATTGTATTGTACTGTATAGTATACTAAAGTTATTGGAGATGAAATGCTTAACTACAGTTCATTTCCAATAATTAATATATAACAAATAGTCATCAATCTGCAGAAAAAAAAAGTTAGCTCAATTGATACAGCTTATGCATTAGAAATGAATGATCACAGGTTTAGCTCTTGCAGCCTGTACGTTTTCTTTTTTTTCTCCCCTTTTTTACATAAAATCCCAAAGTTTTACCCCATTTATTTTGAAACCGATGCACTTTTCCCCCCATATTAGTCCTTTAATTATATCGTATTTTGAAATTAATCCCTCAAATCACTGAACTTGCTAATAGGTCCCGCAATTAATAAGAAATTGGTCACTGAAATAATTAAATTTACCATTAGGTCCCTCAATTTTTAAGTCATTTTGAAATTGTACCCTCCAATCAATTATAGAAGCCGAACCTAGGGAGATTTATTGGGGGGGAAAATTATGAGAATTAGGAGACCTTATAGCAACTTCAATAATTTGAGGGACTAACTTAAAAATAACTTTAGAATTTGGGGACCCGTAGCAATTTAGTTGATTTGAGGGACTAATTCAAAATATGAAAGATGTAACGACTAATATCAAAAAAATCCTAAGAAAATGGTCTCTCTGGCTATAAACCCAAAGTTCCACTCGCATTTATTTTTCAACGTATCTATTCCCAAAATTACTTTTAAATCCGAAATACTCCGGCTAATCTTTAATCTCATTTACTTAAAACCCATCTACTTCCTAAAAGAATTTTGCTACTACGCCCAGAGTTCTAACCACATCTACTTTTAAACTCACCCACTTCGAAAACTTAATCAATCTTTAGACCAAAATACTGCAGTAAATTATTTTTAAACTCATTTTGTATTTCAACAGATTGATGTACTGTGTAAGATGTTATATTTTCGTACAACTTGCCATATTTTGCTAGTGGTTAGCTGTATGCTACAAACAATTATTTTAACCATTATTTTCTTGCTCTTTTTCACATTAATCACCCGGCATCACAAACTATAGATGTTTTTCCCACTTATAAACCAAAAAAAAAATTGGCCCATTTATTTTTAAACCTGCTCACTTCTCGAAAAGCGTTTTTACCTGCAAACTGAAAGCTGTATCACCATTTACTTTTAGACTCACTCACTTCCTAAATCACCTTAGATCTAGCATATTCGAAAGAATTAATTTTGAACCCACTTTATACGTTAGCAGACTGGTATTGGTGTACATTGTTATGTTAGGCTTTAACTTGCTTTTTTTTTTAAACAGCTAGGTGTATAGTTTATTTTTAAATCAAATGCTTAAATTGTTATTTTTTAGTTTATTCTCACCAGGATATCGCGGTATCATGTGGGTCAATTTTGCTCGTTCTCATCGAGATTTCTTTCTTGTGTAGGAGAAATGGAGAATTTGTAGAATGCCCACTGATCTCAGAATTATGGCCAGTCCCCATGGTTTAGTTCACCAGGTTTTGCATTGGTTAAAACTAGAGAAACAAGCTGACTCATGGTCGTACCACCTTATAATAGAGCCTTGCTCCATAGCTTGATCCCATTTTTATGGGCAAAGGCTAGATGATGATTTATGTATGTATGTACGTGCTTTTTGGACCTACCAAACTAAGGGTCACTCCAGATTTCAAGCTGGTTTCGAAGTTTCCAAAGACCTGGATTCTTCAGGTTTGCTCGTGCAGGTTTCGGGTTCAACCTGACTTTGTTGACACCCCCCTTGCATGTATGTTTTAGAACATTATCTAAAAAAGAATATAAACAATTATAATATGGATGTGACAGTGAAGGTGGGCAATAGGTTGGTGCCACTAATGGAGGCAGCATCAATGCTACCAGCTAGTTGAACTGATTATTTACAATATTTCCATGTTTGCATATTTATGGCAAGTCGCATCAATGTCCTACTGTTAGTGTTGGTGCTTCTCAGGATACTGATGATAAAAATGCAAGAATGACCTAACAGATCAAACAATAAAACAGATAAATGCATACAAAGAACAGGAAACAATTCCTTACTATATCACCACTAATAGCTTAATCAAAAAGAAAATGGTTACGGTAAAAGATAATAGAGATTAATTGAGGAAACCAAACTGCATTTAAAACCTGAAAATAAATAAGTTTCTAGAAGAGCATAATAATTCACCTTCTATGTGTCGTTTCTTCTCTTTGTCATAGTATACAGTTATCCCACTTCCAGTGGCAATAAGCAACAAAAGGCTCAACCACGAGACAGGCTGCATTCAGTAAAGTTACTTTCATAATTCACAAATCAAGAAACTCATATGGATGTCTAGATCGTATGTACATGAGAGAGATAAGTACATGAAAGGTTCTTTTCCTATATAATATAACTAATCAACTGTGGAGAAGAATGCAGCACCAATAGTAGAACCAGATAATTAAATACAACAGAATCAAAGCAACTATGAAGAATTTATCCCATATTTTTGGTCAGCTAAAGTTTGATAAGCAAAATAGTAACAGAAATATAGAACCAAAGGTAAATAATTCATATCCAAAATGAGAAGATTATCCACATTAACAACAAAGCATTAAAGGGGAAAAGGAAATTCTTCTTCAAAACCCATCTGACTGGGAGCCCTTAAAAATTGGAAAACATCCTCAGCATCAAACTACTTTTCTCATCTATTGAAATTCCTATGGCCCTATACTGCTGATACGTTTGACAGGCAGAGGACTTTATGAAGTAAAGGAAAGAGTAAGAATAAAGAAGAATATAATACGCAGAGGGTGAATGAAATCAAAAGGACAGAGGAAACCATAAGATTCGATCAACTCAAGCATCAACTACTATGTGCAGAATCAGATGCAGAAAACAGATATGACAAGCCCTAAAGTTCAAGGTACAGATATGATGAATACAGTAATAGAGTGCTGATAAAGTGATAAGGATATGGGCATGCAGATATGACAAATACTATAGTTCAGAATACAGATACATCCTGGATATAATAGCTAGCCAGCAAGATACGAGATCATGGTTAACAGAAAGTAATATCTCTGATGTTATAAAAGAAGCTCTCTAAGTCAAATAAACCAGCAGTTGACCAACCACTTATTTATCTTCCTTTATTTAGAAAGCTGGATCCTAATCTGCGCGTTAGAATTTTTTTATTTGTTGTCCTTGATACATATCAGAATATGTTATCAGTTTTTAGGATATGTTAGAAGAAGTACCAAACATGTTTCTATCTGGAGTAACCAATGTGGGTAATTCTCTATTATGAAGTACTCGTGCCTCGTAGGTCATCCACCAATCAAAAGTACTAATAAGAAACACAAAATATAAAATGTAATTTCAAACAAAGATAACCTCTAGCTTGATATCAAATTCAAATAATTAAAAAAATAAAGTCAAAACAGAAACTTAAGAAAATTGATACGCCCTATATACTAAAATGATACGTGCAAATAAGTCCAAAGTTGTTTAGCAGGTTTATCGATTCTCTATCAATTCTCCAGCGGTTGGATAAAAATTGACCTCAAACAATAATTTAAGTTGTCTTGGTAGCCTTATGGAGGCCTCTTGCGGGTCTTCCTGAGAAGGCAACCTCCAATGATCTAAAATTTAGAATAAATCTATACATTCCAGATGTTTAAGTAAAAAAGTTTTTGTAAGCCATAATAGTTATCTATAATAAGGTTGACAGGAGTAATTAAAACCTTTTATTCAGGTACCAACTACCAACGTGACATCTTTTATATTAACAACACTTGAAAAAAAACTATGCCATCAACATGATTCGCTGATTTAATGTGCCAATGGACAGTCATCAAGTGTCCAAGTGCCACTGTCAACAAACAGAAATAGGCACAATACAGGTAGAAATCAAAAGCATTGGAAAAAAAAATACATGTCAATGCAGAGGTCACAAGGAATAGCATTCTGCAAGACCCAAAGAGAATCTATGCATCACCAGAAATACGTGAAGATGCCTACAAGTCTTACAAACCAAATTTGCATGGTGGAATAAAGAAATATGACTTTCTTCATCTTTCTGGTATATAGTATATACCAAGTCAAGTGGAAGGGACTCCAGTTTCTTCATCTACCATGCAAGTGAACTGCAGTCTAGGCAGTACAGTGTCTGCTTCCTTAAATATAACTATCCAGTATGACATAGACTGATATACAGCCGCAAAAATTGTAAGGAATACCGACAGTTGCCTGCGTACAACAGTATATGGCAGTGGTTTCTATACCAATATATGCCTGTGTTCAAGAAATGAACTGTCCAATGCCTTGCTAGCAGTAGAAAGCATAAAAAATCAAATGAATTGCCAAACATCCAGGAGGTATGTATAGCCAATATATTAAGAGAACAGAGTCACCTGGATGAACTAGCATATTAAGGACATGCTGTACCAGATCATACTTCATATAGCATGGATGTTACATGCTTCATCTAGCATGTATATCCAATATTTTAATAGGAACAGAGTCATCAGGATGAACTAGCATATTAAGGACATGCTGCACCAGATCATGCTTCATATAGCATGGATATTACAGCTTCAGGATGAACTAGCATATTAAGGACATGCTGCACCAGATCATGCTTCATATAGCATGGATATTACAGCTCAAATATCAGATTTCCAATAAATTCTAGTCTGCACCAGATCATGCTTCATATAGCATGGATATTACAGCTCAAATATCAGATTTCCAATAAATTCTAGTCATATTTATTATTTTCCTAATAGATATGATATCAACATGTAATAGATTAAACATGATAAAGAGACTGCAAAGAGAATCATATAGAGTAGAAAATAAGCTTTATGCTTATATAAAAGAAACATGTGGGCTTGTGACTTACCCCACCTCGTACAGCCTTTTTAGTAGGATCGGACGAATTTGGTTCACTAGCCCCTTTCACTTCACCTGAAGCAACAACTGAAGAAGTGTTCGTGCTGCCATCTGCTGAAGCCGAAAGAACTCTAACAAGGAATTTATTGGATAAGGTTGAGGTTTCATTTGCAGTTGATAAAGAAGTAACCTATAATTGAAAGAAAAAAAACAAGGCAACAAACTGATTAGAAAAAGAAAGATAAAAGCAAAATAATTGTAAAGGACGCATATAAGTTATTAAAAAAAAGATACCAACTATGAAAAGGTGAATTTAATTCCTTTCTGGATACTTCTAAACATATTCCATAGTCATCCCCTTTTGATGAGGAAAACTGTCAGGTGATATCACAGTTATGTGCACTACTACATGAGGAAGAAAAGAATGGATAATACCTGATTACTGTAGCACCTTGGTAACTGTAGCACATAATTTGAAGCATGGAAAACAATTGACTAGGTTTCAACATTAAAGTTCCACAAATTATAGGTTGAAACAAGGTGCCGGTAAGCCTTCACTTTGAATCCAAAACTAACAATTTGCAAAAATTGTAAGTTAGAGAATAGCTTTTTTATTTTTGAACTAGTGATCCTTAAGTCATGACATTTCCATCTTTAACAGAAAACTTCAAAATTTAATCCTGCGTCACATTTAGTACTCTAGTTTAATCTCTTGTTATTTTGTTATCAAAGCGAAGTACCTGTCTTTAGGGCTTTTTTTCTCTCTCCATTTTTTTGTGGGGACTGTTTGGATGATGTCAAACAATTATATCCACTATCTCTACACCTAAATGAGTGGATTTGCAAAATAAAAAAGAATAATCAGAAAACTCTTGGTTTGGACTTCTGAGTCATTAATATCAGCTAAATAGCTGATCAGCTGTGAACATATCATTCTGGTCACACCTATTCTCTCCACCAAAGAAGAAAAGTTCTAAGCATTAGAAACTCTTTTCTCCAACCAAGTATAACCGACTGCTTGATGTATAAGCTTAGATTAAAAAGAATGGAATACCAAATCAAGTTAACTGTTTTCTACAGAATATTTTCCAAAGCAGGCTTTACAGATTAAACTACTAAGCATTTACTTCCTTTCCCTTTCAGATCTGGGCATCGGTTGTTAAAGCCTTATATTATGATGTCTCGAGTTCAACTTTGTAAAAGTTAAGGTTATGGCCCTTTTGGACCTGCAATGTGTATCACATCAGGTTCTATTTGATTGTTATTTAGGATAATTGGTGGTCTGACTTCATCTTGATAGGGCCTGAAATCTCTCAAAATCATAAGAATGAAATATCCCAAGTTTCTATATCGACTGACTGGGACTTTGTGATATATCCATTCTGACACATAATAATTATTAGTATTTAAAATTAGAACCATGTCATGTGATATATCCATTCTGACACATAATAATTATTAGTATTTAAAATTAGAACCATGTCATAGACAAACATCCACTGGTTTCTAAATTTTGAAAAAATAATTATTAGTATTTAAAATTAGAACCATGTCATAGACAAACATCCACTGGTTTCTAAATTTTGAAAATCTTTTACAACTTCCACTTACAGGAAAAAGAACCGGAAACTGGGTCTTTTATGATGAGAAATTGAGAACAGACCAAATCTATGATACTAAAAGTGAGCACGCCAATCCTTTTGACTGAAAGAAAGATGCGATGAAAAAAAAGCAAGGAACCATCACATCATAAAATGAGCATAACATGGACACGCAGAGTTAAGTATATATGTTTGCAAGATTTAATCAAAATGAAAAATTAGATCAGGCATGTAGGTTTCCAATTCTTTGTTTCTGACTAACATGAATGAACACAGAAATCGAAAGAAGTAAAAGCACTACTGACCTGAAGATAGCCTCTCCGAGATATTAACCCAAGGAAACAGTGAACACCCTTCAGCCTACTCATTTCCAGAAACAAATGCTGCAAACATCCATATAAATTGATTATCCAAGTAGCATAATTTAATAAGAGGAACAAGTACATAAAATTCAAGTATACATGAGAAGATTTTTTTCAAAAAAATAAAAATAAAAACATATTACTTAGAACCAAAATCCAGAGTCCAAATTGTGGTTTACTCTTTGAAAATTATACAACAACAACAGCAACCAAGCCCTTATCCCAAAGTTTTGGGGTTGACAATGGGAAGTTCTTCATCATTTATCCTCTGATTAGAACCAACGGCAACAAATCATAACGACAACTATCCACTTTTAAGTTTTACAAATTACAACTACAATCTCTTTCAATAAGAAACATTTGGATGCATTAATATATATTTCAGTATGTGGTAAAGCACTAATAATTCAAATTATTCGAAGCAACTTTAATTTCACTAGTAAATGGTTTACTTGATTTATTGAACAGGAAAACGTATTACATTCCGATTCAGCGCTCTCGTTCATCCTCATATATATTATTGGAACTTCAAATCACATTTACAAGAAGATTCCGAAAACTCAATAACTACATGTGCTATGGGTTATTTTCCTCACAATAGTCCCTTAATTGTAAAATTTTTATCCCAATCTAATTGCAGACGAAAAATTGATTGAGGAGTTTAGGGTATTAATTTCGAAAGAAATCTAGCCGATGTTAGTTAGGGTTAGGGTTCAGTGACTTCAGTCGCCACCAAAAGAAGGAAGAAGGAAGAAGGAAGAGAAAGAAGAAGGAAAATACCTCCAAGAAGCTCCCGAAGCTGAACCGATCACAGGATTTATCAAGGGTCCAGAGAGAGGTTTTGACATTTTTTAACCCGAACCCGAAAACATCAAATGGGTTTTTTCCCCTTCTTTTTGTTTTTCCCCCTTCAGAAATCCGCTTGGTATCCTATCGGGTTGGGTATTAGCGGCAAGGTTATCGATAGAGGATAGCGTCGCGTTGCGGTGAGGCATCGCTAAGGCTATTTCGGGCTATTGCGGCAAAATAGCGGTAAAAAGCGCAAAGTCAAATAGCGGTCTAATTTAGATATGTATACATTCTAAAAAAAATTAAAGAAAAATCTAAGAAATCTAAAAGTACATATTGGATGATTTAAAGAGATACTAAACATGAAATAGACATGTAACCATCACGTAATACCGAAGATGACTGGAGGAGTCAAAAAGTCGTCTTCTTCGAGAAGAAGAGCTTAGCGGTGACAAGACTACCCTAAGAAGAGCTCACGGTGAAGGAAGTGAGAGGAAGTATCAATGTAGGTACCAGAGGCTATGAGAGGTGGCGGAAGTATGCTGAAAATCACAGGAGAAGGTGGAATGCAATGGTCAATGGTTGAGTTTAATTTAAAAAAAAAGCCTCAAACCGCTTTTAAATAGCAGTCAAAAAGAAAATTTTGAATGCAATCGCTCACTATTTACCGTTATGACACACTATTGACCGCTTTTGCGAACAAACATATTTCGCAATATGTCACTGCTATTGTGCGATAGCGTAGCGGGCGATAGCGTCGCGGGAAGGGACCGCTAACGCTATTAGCGCCGCTATTGCGGGGCTATTTACCGCTATTTATAACAATGATTAGCGGTGACAATTAGCTTAAACTCACCGTCGGGCACACTCACCTCCCAGACTCCTACCCCTACAGGGATTCGAATTAGGATTTGTTTGGTTCGTTTCCTTCATTTTCCAAAAACGATTTTCCTTCACTTTTTTGTGTTTCCTTCACTTTCATGGAAAGTGTTTCTTGTGTTTGTTTCGCCAAAAAATATGGCGACCACTTTTCTTAGTTTGGTTCAACTTAAAAAAAAAGAAGAAAACAATTGATGTGTGAATAGATTCCCTCATTTTCTAGTGTTTGGTTCAAACTAAGAAAATCAAGAAAACTTGATTGTGGTCACCATGATGTGATTACCACCCATATAAGACAAAATATTAACAAAAATTAAGGCACACAAAATATAATGTATGCACTCAATTGACTGCAAATTCAGAAGGTAAGCACACATTGTCTGAAATTCAGAAGGCAAGCACACAACTCGTCTGAAACCAACTCGACTGAAACCAAACCAACTTTGGCCAAACCAAGTCTGAAAATATCCAAGACTGAACTAAGGCTGAAACCAACTTTGGCAATCTGTCATGGACAATGAGGATGGTAGCAATGACAGCAAAAATGATTAGCAACTGATAAATATCCAACACAACTGAAACCAAACCATGGTTGTGACCCAGGCCAAGAAATTACTTGGCTGGAAATTCAAAGGCAAGCACACAACTCAGGCCAAACCAAAAGCACAAATATCCAACACAAAAGCCAAAGTTGACAAATATCCAACACAAATACCCAGCACATATATCCAACACAACTGAAACCAAACCATGGTTGTGACCAAGGCCGAGACCAACATATATCCAACACAACACAAGTTTGCACCAACACAATAAGCAACCAATAAGGTGCTTCAAATTCAGACAAGTTTGCACACAATTGAAACCAAAGACCAATCACACAACTGAAACGAAAGGCCAAGCACACAACTGAAACCAAAGGCCAAGCAACAACTAGCAAGCACACAACTAAATGCAGACATATGCTGGAAATTCAGAAGGCAAGCACCATGAAGTAGCTAAGTCAAGTTACAGAAACTAGCAATGCACCATGAAGTATGATTAATTAACTTGAAACATGAATCAATGACAAATAATTTTCCATCTCATACGCTAGATATTCAGCCATGCCTCTGACCTATGCATATAGAAATAAGATTCTGGTCACTTCGGCCATTCTTCTGCGCAACTAGCATAGGATATGGACGCATGGAGCCAACATAAAAGAAAATTAGACAAAATATTTATAAAAAATTAAAAATATTTCATGTAAAAACCTAAAGTTTATAATAGCAATGTTTATAATACAACTTAAAAGTAACTTGTTATAATAGCAATGTTTATAATACAACTTAAAAGTAACTTGTTATAATAGCAATGTTTATAACACAACTTAATACAACTTATAGAAAATGTGCTCAGAAAAAGGCTCTTTTCTTCATTATCTGTCTCGCCATAAAGTTTATAATAGCAATGTTGGCTGCAAATATCATAATGATCCTACATAATAAGCATTGTCATCATGGATTGCCTCACCAATATATTACTGCTATAAACTTTGGCTGCATATCTTAAAAATAGTCCATCATCATAACACATAATATGCATACCTTTTTAACTTTAATTCCATCACACTAGAAATATGTAGGATACTCTCAATCCATCAAGGTGAAATCATTCACCTTAACCCACTTGTAAACCAGTCAAGCAAGTTTGCATTAGCAATCTAATATTCAATATAACATGTAAAATGTATATGTCATAGTCTATATAGTAGGATACAAAAAAGTTTTATGTATAGATATTAAAGTGCACAGTGCTTGACAATGCTGTGCTTAATAATTTATTAAAGTGCACACTGCTTGACAATGCTGTGCTTAATAATGTTTTGCATCACTCATGAATATGTATATTAAGACTTGTAGAAATAAGGAGTAGCCGAGTAGGTTGAAGTTATCATAGATTACAAATTGAATTTCAGATTCCATTAAAAAATTGAAATAGATCAAATTCATTACGTAGAGAAGGAAACCCATAAATCAAGTAGATCAAAATAGAAAACATGAAACCCACAACAAACAGTTCAGAACCCCTGATTTAATATAAGAAAAACACATAAATTAAATAGATCAAACCCGTGATATTAAAATAAGGAAACCAATAAATTTAATAAATCAAACCTTAAATCCAACAGGCATAAAGATTAGAAAGAAGCTATACCAAAACAAGGATGAAATAGATCAAATTCATTAAGCAGAAGAGAAGAAACCCACAGAAATCAAGCAGATCAAAATAGCAAATAGGAAGTCTACAACAAATAGATCAAGACCCCTGGATTAATATAAGAAAAACCCATAAAATCAAATAGATCAAAACCATTAAATTGAAAAATAAGAAAACCCATTAAGCTCATAAATCAAATTAATGGAGATTAAAATAGAAAACAGGAAACCCGTTAGAAACAGATCAGAACTCTTAAACTAAAATCAGAAAACCCATAGAACCCATAAATCAACATTAACACCCTTAAATCAAAATGGGAATAGAGTTTAGGATTAAGGTTTAGGAGAGATACCTTGGCGTCTGCGATCGTTGTCAACGGTGCGGAGGAACTTTGGGCCACGGGAGAGAAGGAAGGGAAGGCAGAGGAGGTCACGACGCTGGGTTTTGCACGGCGGGAAGAAGGCGGAGGAGGAAAACGAGAAGGGAGGAAGGCGGAGGAAGAACACGAGAAGAGAGGACGGCGGAGAAGGAAGGGAGGAAGTGGGAGGTGACCGGATCGAGTTGCAGCGAAAAAAAAAAAAGAAGTTTTGGATGAACCCTGGAAACGCGTTTGGGGGTACGGAGAGAAAAGACGCAGTTTTCTGTTTGTTTGCTAAAAAAAAATGCCCCGCCAAGTCAAGATTTTAAGAAATCCCCTCCGTACCATTTTAGTTTTATTCGATTTTTAAATCATCGTTTTGTGATTTGAAAAAAATCAAGGTGTCATATAAGATATGTCACGATAGATTTTTGAGAAAAATGTTTTCACACCATAAAACTCTAAAAACAGTTAGAAATGTCACTTTAATGAATTTTTAATTACTAAAATCACTGTTGAAACGGTGATCATAAATAAAAATAGATTATTTAATTACTAAAAATATTGTTATTATTGCGGGTGGTTTCCATTTTTTTTTCTATGTTTAAACAAACACAAGAAATAAAAATCAAAACACTGTTACTATTATGATTAGATTTGTTTCATGATAGGAATAGGACCGCCGCTTGTATATATAAACCCCCCTCCCCCTCTCTCTCAAAAACTCACATCAAAACCAATACCGAAACCAAAAAATAAAAATAAATTATAAGGCAGAAGCCATTATATCTTATAATAAGCATGGATTCTTCGCCTTCAGCTCTTTCTGCTTCTTCTCCTTTGGAACTGACGTCGCCATTGCCTCCATACAATGAAGACGGAACCCATCCTTGTTTGCCGATAGGGTTTCGATTTTGCCCGACCGGCGATGTCGTCATCAGGCATTTTGTACGCAACAAAGTTTTGGGAGCGCCGTTACCAATTAACCCTATCAAAGAGATTGATGTCTACCTCTTTGAACCTGAGGAACTCCCCAGTGAGTATTTCTTTCTTTTCATCTTATATGGGTTTAGTGGTTTTTGTTTAACCTGATAAATCTTCGTAGTTATTTGTTTATCGACGTCTGGCTTAATCGATCATCGTCTATCTATTTCATTTTAATGTCAATTATAAAGAAAATCCTAAGAACAAATTTTCAAAACAGCCTCAAATCTGTTTTTATTTTTCAAAACCGACCCATTTTTTTTTCACCAAAATCGACCCACTTTTTATCACGTCAGCTTAATCTCATTTCTAAACAGTCGGGGTTGGCAACCCCAACCAATTAAAAATCTTAAACCTGATTTTTTATGCCCTAAATAGTCAGGGTTGGCAACCCGATTAATTAGGAAATGAGATTAAGCTGACGTGCCAAAAAGTAGGTCGATTTTGGTAAAAAAAAAGTGGGTCGGTTTTGAAAATTAAAAACTGATTTGAGGCTGTTTTGAAAATTTGTTCAAAACCCTAACTTGAAATTTTAATCATAAAATTTTGACCTAACTCAACATATCTAAGACTTTCTTGGATACAGCCATGGAATTGTTGCAAATCAAAATAATTAAAATTGGATCTTTAGCTTGGTTTATTTTTTTTAATAAAATATTAAAATTGGTCTTTTTTTAAAAAGGATCACTTTTATTGCACTTCTTGATGAGGACTTGATTCTTCTTTGATTAGAATTAAATTTGTGATTTTTTGTCTTCCTTATTTTAAGTCTGGAAAATTTTTAGGGAGGAAATATTTATTTAAAAATCATGGGGGTCAGTGAGGAAATATTTAATTCAAAATCATTGGAGGTGATGATTATAGGATTTAAGGGCAAAAATTTTTGCTTAGAGAAATATACAATTCTTCTTATATTTGGAGTATATTGTAGGACTTCTTAAGAATTTTAAAAGCAACTAAAAAATGCAGGTCTTTTCAAATTTCAGGTAAACATAATTTTATCTAAGTGAGATTCACAGGGATAAAAGGAAAAATATTATTTCGAATATACTAGCCTTGAAGCAACAAATATTAATTGCTATTGCTATGAAACAGTTCATATTTGTTTTTATTGCCGTTTCTTCATAATCCGACGGTACATAATTTGTTTTCCCCTTAACTTTTCTTCATATAAAACAGTTCATGTTTTGTGTAAACGTGAACCAATAAATAACTTCATAAGCAACCTATATCAACACTCAATCCATATGAATTGATGTCAAGGGTAAGGCATCTAAGGCTCTTTTTCTAGCAAATAAAAGGAGAACACATATCCTATTCTATCATAGTGAATTTTCATCATTGAGTTTTCAGTGTTGTGACATCCATATTTCTTCATGTGCAGTTACTATGTCTAATGGGGATGAGATTTGGATGTATTTCTTTGTGTACATGGCTGAGGAGAACTCAGACCGTTCCACCCCGAAAGGCTATTGGAAGTTAGATGTGAGCGATGAGCCCATCAAGGATTCTGATACCAAAGAAATCATCGGGTTAAAGAACACATTTATCTACTATAGGAAAGAGCTTGGACCAAATGGGCGATACAAGACCAATTGGACCATGCAAGAATTTCAAGCAACCAATATAGAGAACCTTAAAGATCCCAAGGTGAGATACTCTCTCTTCTTGTAGGTAAAAAAATTTATTCTCTTGTGATGTATAGTTTGTGTTAATATGCGATTATTTTCTTTCTTGTAGATGAAAAATTGGGTTATATGCAAAATAGAAACAGTGATTCCTCAGGAATATGAGGTGAAAGTTTCGAAGAAGGGTAAAATGAGCAATCGTGTACATAAGCAATAAGAAGTATTTCCCCCTTATTGAGAAGGGGAATCATCATATTTCCTTTCCTTGAGATGGTCGATATTTTATCATGGTCTTTCAGTTGATCATAAAATTTTGTAGTAGTTGAAGGAAATTCAAAGCCAGTTATCTTTTGTTTATTTTCTATTTTCTTTTAGCATTTGTAGTTTGGTGTTGATCGGGCTATTTGCCCCTAGCAATTTAGTTCTATGGGATATTACCTGTAATTGTCTGTTACCCTTTTCTTAATCAATGATGAAGGCTTCAAGTCAAAATCGTTTTTTCCTTTTTTGGGATGAAATCTTTGTTTTTCCCGTTATTATTTCAGTTTATTGCTCAATTTTGAACTGCATTTTAATTTATTGACTTGAGTATAAACACATACTTTTGCAACCTTAATGTTTTATTGATCACACAGTCAATTGTCTCTGTTGTTGGATAGGGTAGTTGAGTGTTGATGACGGGTCGCTTTTTTCCCGACTATATATCTAGTTTTGAGTAAGGTGGTTAAAAAATCTGTACAATTAGAAATTCATAAGAGGACGGGGCTTGGGTCTCTCGTGGTTTCTCCGACGATCAAATCAGCTGTTGAGCTTGAGTGAAGAAAATGAAGAATTGTCAGAGTTCTTATGTGTGCAATATCTTTGCTTAAAGATCAGATTTGTGAACCCTAAAAAAAAGAGTTCCTTCTCTAAGTTAGAATAGTACTTCTATTTATACCGAGAGTATAAATGGTAGATCAGTCACTTTGGCTGAACACAGGATGACGATAGCGAAGTGTGAGCTGACGGCTGAGTTAGCACCTACTTTAGAGGTGTCGGATGGCAACTGGATGAGCAATCAACTCAGCATTAAATGAGAAGTGATCGGAGGTATGACGATGCATACATGGTCCGATGAGTCATGAAAGCTATTAGGGCTAGAGGCATGATGCATCTGTCATGCATTAAATGTGATGCTGACACGTTGCAAGTGGGGAAGGCTCGAGGCAAAAGTTGTCCTTTGGCTTCACCGAGAAGTAACGTCTTTCGAGTCGTCCTTGCGATGCATCAAGTATCTGGTCGAGTGGGTTCATGACGAGTCGTCTTCGACAAGAGGATTGACTGATACCGCCTTTCAAGTCGACATGAAGGAATGCNGAGTCGGATAGGTCGGAATCCTTGCTGGTTTCTGGCCGCCAACTTGATTAGGGCATGGCATGCAGAAGTACATCTGTCCGTTGCTTGGCAATAAGTTGCACTTTGACGAATGGAAACACCAAAACAAACCTCAAATCCTTCTTAAAAAGGTTTCTTCACTTCTGAACTTCTGTCGGTCTGCTCTGCTGAATCTAAACAATCAAATCTCGAATAACAGTTTAGATATCATAGTAAAAGAACACAAAAAATGAACTGTTACTCTGTGCAATTCCATTATATTCAAAAAGAGATCTGATTAGAAAATATGTACTGAATTTTATCTATTGAATCGATCTGTGAGCATGAATTAGTGACAATTTACAGAACATGTATGTTATTCCACTGTATTGACTGACAAACCACATTCTACTCTCATGGCTTCCATAAGCTTAGCAGAAACCTTCTCTTCTTTAACATTCGTTCCCTTCCCTTCATCGTTGTTCTTCAGATCGCCACCAGCAGTCTCTCCCTCTCCCCAACCCCTGTATAGAATAACTTTATTCGGTTCTCTTGATACCAACACTGCACCGGTTGCTTGCTGTTGAACAATGGTAACAGAAATTAAGCCAGCAATATCGTTTGGCACCAGTTAAATTTAATAGCATCAATAAAATACCTCTAGTTGGAAGATCACTTCCTGGACTGAAGTTCCCTCGGCCCTTCCTTTGATATTCACAATGGCCAGGGGATGCTTCTTAAAATGTGTTTTAATTGTTTTTGCAACGCCCGTGACAATATTGCTCCTTCCTGGATATGATACAATACATTAGCGCATTACATGAACTGTTGAGAAAAGGGCGCGAAAAACATCAACTTATTGGGAGCTGCATCTTGTAAAAGTTTATAAAATGCCAAATAACTATAATCACATAATAGTATCCTATTGTATAACAGCATGAATATCAAATACTTCGGCAGCATTAGGGCAGATGCACCGCAATGGTGAAAAAGTTGCACTCTGTAACTTTCTGTAAAAAAAATCAGTTAGCCGCAAACTCCTTTTTTCAATGTGGAATTTAACAATTAACTTATGCTGAAGATTGATATATGAATTTTTAAAATTCATGCATACAAGAACAAAAACAATTAACATATGCTGGACATGCGTATACAAATTTCCTGAATTCTGAAAGTGTACAAAAACAAATACGTAAAATATACAAGATCCACATAATATACGGTAAGATGAGTTTCATCCTCTAGACAGAAAAACATGTATCAGTAGAATTATAAGACATCCGAAGATTGGATCATCCTTGATACAACATGCAAAATGGAGACCACCCAGCACCTTCTAGACAAAAGAATGAACATCAATGTATAACTTAAAGGATATAGATAGAAATTATTATTACCAACAGCAAGCACAGGACGTTTTCTCATCTTGAGAGCTTGTTTTCGTAAAACAAGTCTTTCCCGATTCGAGAGAGGAGCAGCTCTGAAGGGAATTTCAAGATCAGAATCATCTCTCAGCTTATACTCATGAACATGTTTGTCCAGTGTGCCTCCTGCTGACCCAATGGATAACTCTGCTTCATCTTCATCTCCATTGCTGATGGCAGGTATTGGGACCTCTTCTTGGTGCTGTAAAAATAAGATTAGCAGTGAACAAAGGGAAAACAGAAAAACAGAAGAGAAACATAGTACACAGATGTCGGTTGGTACCGCACAAGACTCAGGGTAGAACCCGGGCTCATTAGAGCTACATCCTTTCTCTTTGTTGGACATATTTGTGCTAGTTGTGGATTCACTGTCAAACCGAACATTTTCATTCTTACTAAACTGATCTACATGTTTGAGAGCTAACCAATTTTCCTGTTGCAGCACAAGACAATTAGGAAAATCTATAGAATCCTATTATAGAGGGAAAAAAGTTCTAAACAAAGGAGGTGAAACGACAAAACAAAGGAGACTGTACCTGACTATGATTCAAAGAAAATATGGAGTTGATAGCATTGTTTGACGTAACTGTGGAGGATTCTTCCTCATTCAGAACACAATCACTCTTATTTAAGTGCAAGTATTCTTCAGCAGCTTCATTCACTTCCTTGACCATAGATGTACAGAATAAAGAGCACGAATAAGATTTTCAAAACCAGGTTAGAAGGAAAAAAGCAAGGAGAACATATGATATACAACATTTGTTATCAATATTGGTGGTTGTACAACTCAATTAGCATCTGCCTTTTGTGTTATCAGTGAACAAGAGTAAGAATAACATTTTCAAAACCAAATCAAAAGAAAGAAAGCAACGGGAAGATATGCCGTATGATATTTATGGTATTGGTAGTTGTAAAACTCACATTAGCTTTAATGTTTCTTTTACCAGTGAATAGGAGCACAGATAGGAAATAGTACATCATTTTAGAACCCTCGTGTATACCAGAGTGGGGATAACTGCTATGGCATTAGAAAAATTACCATTGTCTGGAAGGAGGGATAAGGCTGGTTGGTTTGCTCCATAACTTTAACAGTTTCCAAATATATATAGAACAAATGAGAAACTTGGTACAAAATATAAATGGTAGAGGGGATTTAGAATTTAAAATTACCCTGAATGAGTAACTTAAGCATCAATGGCTCTTCATTTTCGTTAAGCTCCCTCCACGGCATGCTTTCTAGTCTTTACTGCTGGACAAGAATATTATTTTCATTGCCTCTTTTAGTAACTTTACTCTGATTATTCTTTTTCACATGGGGTGCTGATATCCTTCGAATATTTTTACTGAGTAGAATCCAATAGTTTCAGATATACGTGGATTTTTTCTCAAAGCAGCACATGAAATAGGTTGAAGAATAAGCAACCTTGCAAAATTAAGTTTCAGAGCCAAAAAGTAAGATCTTGAAATCAGACGTGGAAGCATCTAGAGAAAGACGTGAAAAAATAAAGGAAAAATAATTCCACTTCAGGCAACTAGAGTTACTGGTGAAAAATCTTCTTAACATGAACTCGTAACAAGGAATCAAATATTTATCTGGCAATTCATGAATGCCTTGGCATAAAATAAATTTATATTTAGGAATAAAGGCATTTAGACTTGACACATGAGTTACAGAATGGAGTTATTTTACTTTTCATCTTCTTCATAGAATATGACTTACCTCAGTGCTCTGTTGTTCATGAGAAGATCCAGCAGACACATGGTCTCTCTCCACAGACCAGCTATGCTCAATCCTTTCATCATCAATGTCTAATTTATCACTCTCAGTTAACTGCATTTCGTCTTCAACTGCTTGCTCCTTAGCCTGGAGATTACAATACAGTAGTATTCATGTATACAATACCCCAAAAAATGAGAAAATA